GGATGCTGGCTATCTTCCTCGCCTCCTTCAGCTGCCGTTTCTCCACCCTGAGACACGCTCATATAGCCCAGACCTATGTGCGCACACACTACACAACACTGATTAATGTCACGCTGCCTCCTGAGATACGTTACTTCACGCTGGGTGAGCGCAGACTCACACACATACACACAGACTCACACACATACACGCAGACTCACACACATACACGCAGACTCACACACATACACGCAGACTCACACACATACACGCAGACTCACACACATACACGCAGACTCACACACATACACACAGACTCACACATCGCCTGTTTAGAAAATATTCACTTCATGTATAAACAGTTGCAGGGAGTTATCCGGTGCTCTGCAGCTGAGATGACGTTTGTTGGCTTTGGTCAGGCTGATAGTTGCCAAACAGCAGGAGTCTGTCTTATTCTTTGAGGATAAAACAGACTATATGGAAGCCTCTGCAGGATAATTGAAAGGAAAATGTTGTCTCTATGAAATGAAATTCACCTACAACATTAACATTTACCACTTATATTACTGTTATTATTTTGAGATATAATTGGTGCAAAACATGAACAGAAATCACAAACGCAAACCACATAAGCAAAGCTCAGCTACTTTGTTCTTTTGATGTGGATTCTTTCAGTTTTGGCTCATGAAAAAAGACACAGGCTAATAACAAACTGTCAGGATATAGCACTTGTTTAGTCTATCTGGTAACCCCTGGAGGCCAGGAGAAGTCAAACTATCTCACGTTTAAAAGTAAAGCAAGGATTAAAGAAAAATAAAACATATTTGCTTCTTTTTCTGCATAATCATAATAAGTTGTTGAACAGAGTGTCTGAAGTTTTCTGACTGATTCTCGCTCTCTTTTTGAAGCTCGTATCAACTGGATGCCGTCAGATCCTCAGCTGGTGTCCGAAGGCCTGTACGCCATCGCTGTGGTGCTCAGCTTCTCTCGTATTGCTTACATCCTCCCTGCCAACGAGAGCTTCGGTCCGCTGCAGATCTCTCTGGGGAGAACGGTCAAGGACATCTTCAAGTTCATGGTTATCTTCATCCTGGTGTTTCTGGCGTTCATGATTGGAATGTTCAACCTGTACTCTTATTACCTGGGGGCGAAGCAGAATGATGCCTTCACCACGTGAGACATTCATTGCACACACTTGCATTTTATTGTTCATATTTTGGGGGTTTTATGTCTACAAAAAAACTTCTTTCAGGAACTTGAGGATTGGCTGAGATTCAGATTCATTTTCTTTTTTTACATCTGGGGGTAACTTTAAAAGTTTATCCAGCCACGGCCTTGATTTATTTGTGCTGAACATGATTTAAGAACAAGATGCTAAAAAGGGCTACACTCGCAAGCTGTATGTGAAAAAAAACCTTAGGACTTAAAAAATGACAATATAGATGTTTTAATAATTCACATTAAAATGTATTTTTTTAAATGCTCATTGGAGGACAATAATTGAAAATGGTAGAGTTGGGTAAAATTCACTTACAAAGAGTGTTCCAGGTATTTTTATTGTCTGCAAAAACAAAATAAGTATTAATTCCCTTTTCTTGGGACTCAAGATGGAGAAAACACAATTAGGAATTGCTAGTTTATGTGAGGGTTTTATCTTTCTCATCACTCAATCCTATTGTGACCCCTAATGATCACCCAAGGACCACTGCAGGGCGAAAAGCTCTTAGATGGAAAGCAACGTTTTAACAATACATACAAACCCCTTTATAATTAACAAAGATTTTTAATAATTCCAATAATTGCTAAAAAAGCTTGACAATCAGTCAAGAAAAGCACAATATGTCTTAAAGAAGTTGGTCAAAGGTATAAACACAATGTTTGCTGCTGAAACATTTATCGTCCTCTTCTGTTTTCCTCCCAGAGGATCTTTCAAATCTGAAGATGAATAGTTTGTTTGAGTTTAAAAATACCTCTTCCTGTCTTTTTCCTCTCTGTGCATCCGCCCAGCCTGGAAGAGAGCTTCAAGACGCTGTTCTGGGCTATATTTGGACTATCTGAGGTCAGGTCTGTGGTGATCAATAACGGCCACAAATTCATTGAGAACATCGGTTACGTGCTTTATGGAGTTTATAACGTTACCATGGTGATAGTGCTGCTCAACATGCTCATCGCCATGATCAACAGCTCGTTTCAGGAGATTGAGGTTTGTCATCAAAAAATACTGAATCATCGTGCTTTCAGATACAAGCTCATAACTTAAGATGCTTGAGAAAACATTCACTACCAAGACTTATTTCAATTATTTTTTGAAAATGGAGGTCACTCTTGTCTCTCTTTCCCTCTAATAAGGGAACAAAAAAGTTTTATCTCTAGCGTCCTGCATGAAGCAAAAATCACACAGCATTGTCTTTGTTTGTGCACACATTACCAAACGTTATTCTAATGTGTCCTTTCTGATCAGGGATCCAACAAATTGACATCACAGATGAGAAGCTACTTGTTTAGTGAGAAGTTCATATTAATGAGCTGTTAGTATGAAGACTATGTAACTATAACATGTGAATTATCCCCTTTTTAAACCACAAAAAAAAAACAATATGCTTTCAACCTTTAATTTCTTTCCTTTTTTTCCTTAGCATGGCGGTAAAAGCTTTGCAAATCAAATGTGCAAAAATCAACATTTTCAGATTAGCTGATTTTTTTTGGCAATAAGACCAGTTAGCCTGCGACTTCTCCCAGTCATCGGCTTTTTAAATAAAAATGATGAGAAAACATTGCATTTTTACGTGTTCTGTTGGGTCTTCTTGTCTGTTGTATTTGCCAACAATGTTAAAAAAAATAGCCCTTTACTGTCACAAACTAAATTTAGAGGTACAAATAATGACCTGAACCTGAGCACAGCCTGGAGCCTTCAGAGTCGTCTGGTAACCAGTAAAGTTCACTGCTCAGGCCCAGTCAGGCACACAACGCCCTGTAAAACCTCAGCTTGTCTAATACTTTGTTGTTGTTTGTGTGTGGGTGTGTGTGTGTGTGTGTGTGTAGATTAGACTAACTAAGATAACAGTGGAGTAATTAGTCAGCTTTAGAGATGCACACTGATCTCAGAGGCTTCTGTCTGCAGCTTCATGACATAATTAGCATAAAGACATGAGAATTGTATCAAGATTCTTTTTTTAACTCTGTTATCACAAAGCAAATGAACCCATTTCACAATGTTTCTTAGTTTTAGTTCAAATCTTTTCTGTTGAGTTTGATTGACTGTGTGTTTATCGCTACAGCTACTTTTTAGCTTGTGCTTTGATTTTCCCTTCAATCCTCATCACTTTTCTTTTGTCTTCAGGACGATGCTGACGTAGAGTGGAAGTTTGCTCGGGCTAAACTTTGGTTTTCTTACTTTGAGGAGGGTAGGACATTACCTGTGCCCTTTAACCTTGTCCCCAGTCCAAAATCTATACTGGCACTGGCCACAGCCATCAAATCCCTGCTCCTGCACTTTGTAAGAGGACATGCTGAGCAGAAAGCTGAGACACAACTCAAACAGGTAGCACACGCTATGGACTCACATACAGCTTACAAAGTTCTCTCACACACACTTTGTGCTAGTTACTAAAGCTTTAAAGGCAGAGTCAGAGCACCTCCCAGTGGTTTTCATGCTGCACCACAGGCTTCGCTTCAGACCTGAACACAAGTTCAACCTGTGAGAGTCCCGATACTGTTCAATCAAGTTAACTTCAGCTTCATTTTGCAGCTCGGGGAAAGCAAAAACTCAGGATTTAGTACTTCTACCAGCCCAACCAGATATCAGGTAAGTGTTTGTAGGCGTCTTACACTACAGTGTAATAAGTTATCGAATTACTTCTTATGATAAAACGAGACTTTTTTATCATTCTGCAGAAAATCATGAAGCGATTAATAAAGCGTTACATCATCAAAGCCCAAGCAGACAAAGAGAGTGACGAGATCACTGAAGGTGAGATCAACAGAACTGAATTGAACTTGTTTTAATGATAACTCTGTCTTGGAAATAAATGGCTTGAAAAAAATGTTGTCCTTGTTTCTCTTAAGGAGAGCTGAAGGAGATCAAGCAGGACATCTCCAGTCTGCGGTATGAGCTGTTGGAGGAGAAATCACAGAACCTGGAGACACTGGACGGACTGCTGAAGAGGCTGGGAGAGATCAGCACACCTGCAGAGTAGCACCACCAGTTTACCTGACGTGTACATAAAACTGTATAGTTACAAATCATTGATATGAAAATATAAAAATGTATGTATGTGAATAAAGGGTTAAGGTTTAGCCTGCTGGTCTTGCATTTTATATTGTTTTACTGCTATAAGGCACACAAAGTTCCAGTTGAATATATTCTAAAAGAACAAATAATGATCCACTATGATGATTTAGACCTAAACAACTTTTACAAACACATGCATGCAAAACCTTTAGAAATAGGAACTTGGAAATTGCATGAAACTTTTCCTGCTCCTACAGCTTAAAAACAAAACCAAAAGGGCTGTATCACACACACACACACACACACACACACACACACACACACACACACACACACACACACACACACACACAGGCTAGGTATTTCCCACAACCCCACGATACAGAGGCCACGATACGATACATATTGTGACATACATTGAATTTGGATAATGAACATGTCTTACACAGCTGTGGCTTTACTGTGAACTGTACCATACAGTAGGTAAGTTGTCTTTCAAAACTGTCATCACAGCTTTGCAGCCGTATCGATTCTCTAACATCTGCATCGATACATGTAATTTGCAAGGAGCGCATGACGATAAATTGCTTTATCGATTTTTTTTTAGGCACACACAATGTAACATCAGTGCTCATAGTGAATTAATGTTGGCTCTTTGTATAAAGAGTACGTTCTAGACCTGTTCATTTTGTAAAGTGTCTTGCGATAATGTTTGTCATGCTGTACTGATAAAGATTGATTGATGATAAAAGAACAAAAACCAGTAACAGAATCTACTTACCAAAACAGCTGTTTTCAAAGACAAGAGTTTATTTAGACAGAATGAAAACTGAAGGACAGCAGAAAAGAAATCTTGAGGCAGGATTCAGTCATATCAGTTCATACTGTTGAAGGCACAGAGGTGAAGACATTTAAACTTAACATGATTATTTACAAACACAAAAATGACTAATATTAATAGACACTGCCTTTTGCAGATTACTGCGAGAATGCTGATCATGAACATTAAAACAAGCGCATATCTTTAAGAGACTGGAGGAAAATAAAAAAAAACAAGAAATCCAGATTTGAACAGTTATTGTTATATAATCAGGTTAATAACAAATCGTGGTCGCACAAAGTAGTCCTATGTAAATACATCATTTATGTCTAGCCCCAGTGATTCAGTGATAACAGTCACAGTTACATGATAAATATATTATATCTTCGATCAGCAGCGCAGAGAATGACTGTATGAACTATGTACTGTACAGCCCTAAAGTCTAATCTACATCTTGTTGTGAGTCAGTGATGGGTTGATGACATCACATGTATGAGATGTAGTTTTCAGGTACGAGGCCTGTTCTGCCGTTGTACGTCGCCTGAAGCCAACCTGGTTCCACAGACGGGTACACTGCGGACAAATACATAATCAGCAAGTTAAAACAAGGACCTTCATATAATAAACAACACATTTTACAAATAACATTTATCTTCTCGATCAACATCTCTGTTACATCTCTTTGAAATGGGTAAATACGTTTTTAAAACATGACGACTGATGTTCAGATAAGGTTATAGAAAAGGTGTTTTTCTTACCATTTGTGAATAGCGCCCCCTGTGGAAAACTGAGCTCGTGGCTGTGCTCTGCCTCACAGGAATAAAGAGCTTTTGCGTCCCTAAAGAAAAACATTTAATTAGTGAAGAAAAGTGATTTCAGGATACAAATTAAGGTGGATTTGTTTTTCTGAATTATACGTTGTCCTCAGGCTTCAGTGATTCTATATGGAATAGTGAAAAGTGCTAACATCCAAACAAGCTTTGATAAACGTACCGTCCTGTGGAACAAATGTCTAACGCTGAGGAGAAGACTGAGCTCTCACGCTGCGCCAGTCTGGCTGATAATCTGTAACACAAAAACATAAAATCCGATCTTAATTACATGTTTTAGATCATTTTCAGTTGTTGCTTTGATTGAGCCGATCTATAAAAAAAGCAAAGGTAAAATTACAGACTAAAAAAGTTTGGTTAATTTTCAGAGATGAGTAATTTGCATTTAAAACTCCATACACAAATACCAAATGCAAAAAGTTTAATTAAATGTATTTTTTCACACTTTAGTCCCTGGCCAAAGCAAAATAAGGCTTCTATTATATATAAAAACATAAAATCAGGAAAATGCCGTTTAAATACTGTTATATTATATTTAGATAAATGAAACTGGTGGTATTAAAAGTGTTAGTGTCGAGGCGCCGGTAGCCTAGTGGTTAGTGTGTGCTCTCCATGTACCTAGGCTATAGTCCTCCAAGCAGGAGACCTGGGTTCAAATCTGACCACTCTCCCTCTCCCTGATTTCTGACTCCATACACTGCCCTTCCTATCTCTAAAATGAAGGCATGAAACACCTGAAATGAACCTTTAAGAAAAAGTTTTAGTCTCATGTTGAGGCCAGGAGAGTAAGTCCATACTGCTCTCTTGTGTTTCTCTGAAAAGAAAAACTAAAAGTTTTGTACCATCAGAGCCCCTTAATGATCTAAGATTAGTGATCAGTTTCACAGACACACTCACACTGACACCGGCCTCTGGTAGCCGTTACTGGATGTGGTGGCTGCAGAGTGTTTCCCGGTGAGATCAGAGCCACAGCGAATGTGTGTCATTCTTCGTGTTTGTGTTGCATCTCGCGGCTCCAGTGACATGAGACTCTGTACTGATCCATGACAGCTTTTGTAATCTGTGAGTCGACAGAGTACAATAAATCAGAAACAAACGTGGAAGTGATTTTCAACTTTTCAACACACTTTATCCCAGACAGATGTACGTACCCTCAGAGATGTGTAGGGAAGTGAGAGAGGAAGACGTTGAAAGCCGGTAGGGAAATAATGAAGAGGAGGAGGAAGAGGAAGAAGAGGCTGTCCTGTAAATGTTTCTGTGTTGGCGTGAAGGAGAGGTAGAGTCTGCCACTTTGGTTTCTTTGACAATGGAGGAGGTGTTTTTTTGATCCACTGAATGAGTGCTCTTTAGAGAGGAAACAGATGACACTCTCTGCATGGGTTGACCCTCCCTGAGAGAGGAGGCTCGCTCCACAGAGGAGTGCTGGCCGGACAAGGAGGCTATGGAGGGAGTTCTTGATTCTTTTATAGATGACAAGGAGGCTGTTGAGTTTCCTTTGACAGACAGAGTCCGGTCTTCAGAGAGTAAAGAGGACATGGAGGAGGACACAGAGGAAGTCTGCTGGGCAGGAGGGAGCTGGGAGGAGGTCCAGGAAGAGGAAGACGTGAGGCGAGGGGAGGCGGCGCCGTTGGCCTGCTGTTCCTGATCCTTCCCATTTAAAGAGATGTTGGATGAGGAGAAGGAGGAAGCTGCAGGAGGAGACAGCTGAGCTTTGGTGGTCGAGTCAGGCTCGGCAGTAGGAGAGGAAGGAGGGGATGTCTGAGACAGTCCGTTTTTTTCAGAAGAATGTGAGGACAGAGACTCCTGGCTGCCCATCGGAGTTGTGCTGGGGCTGCTGCTGAATGTGTCACCTGGAAGGAGAAATGAAAGTCAATCAAATAATAAAGAGGCAGATTGAAAATCAGATCAGGGACACACAATTAGGGATTGCAGATTAATCTAACAACTATTGTGTCAGCCCAAACACTTATCAGTATATATATATACAATCAAGTGTTGGATTGCACAAGAGTAAACATTTAACCCAAAAAAACAAGAAAACCTGCTAATGATAATATTGACCAGTTATCAATGGAAGAAAAGTAAACCTATAACCACCAAAATAGCTCCAAGACAGCAGGATAAATAAAAGTCATGTGCATTACAGTTACTTTTGACATTTATATTTGGATGAAAGTGCTCGTGGGTCACCTCTTCTGACCAAACTGAAGTTTTAAGAGATTTCCATAAACTATGTATAACCTCTTTTTATCAAATACCTGCAAGATGAATCATATTCTCATCACCCTAAACACGTCATATCACTTAACCCTTTTTTATTACCCAAAATTCTATCTCAAAAGTGAACACTTCCTTTGATATGTGCTAAAAAGGATGTATTAAATAGCTCAAAATATAAATATAAGGGCATTTAAGAGCTATGAGCTACAGGAGCTGCAGAGACTCACTGTCGTTGTCTGCCAGGCAGAGAGTAGGAGGGTAGAGGCGGGCCTTCCTCTTTCCAGAAGACAGACAGATGGCCTTGTTCCTCCGAGGAGTTGACCGAGAGGACGGAGCCGGAGGTAATGGCAATGACAGGTCTGGAGCCTCGCCAAAGATCTGACAGGAACACACCAACATAGACTGTCAGGTAAGTGTATGATTGTGTGTGTGTGTGTGTGTGTGTGTGTGTGTGTGTGTGTGTGTGTGTGTTTATGTTTATTAGCAAGACTACCTTGTGGTGGTTTTCTATGATAATCTCCACCACAATGTTCTGAAACTTGATGTTCATCATCGCGGCCACCGTCTCCTCCTGTGACCTCATTAACGTGGGACCAAAGATCATTCCAAGGTTGGACACAGTCATCAGGTTCTGGTCACTGTGGGAGGACACCCTGCGTGCGCACACACACACACACACACACACACACACACACACACACACACACACACACACACACACACACACACACACACACACACACACACACACACACACAAGCACATATGAATGTGTGTTTAATATCATTCAAGACAGAAACATGAAATAAAAAGTTTGTATAAACTGTAAAACATATGAAGGAATTAAAGAAGAAACAAAAAACTTTTATGGTTCCTGGACAACGTGTTTGTGTCGTCAGGTGTACAAGTGTACAAAAACACCTCTACAACTTAAAAAAAAATAAAAAACTGTCAGGAAAATAAGATGCTCTAAAGCACAATGGTGTTTATGTTCACGTACTTGAGGAGGTGGCATGTTAAGAGATCCAACATGGCTCGGTTTTTTTCTGGTAGTTTGTGCACGAGAGCATGTATCGCTCTCACTCTGTACTTCTGGTCATCATACTCTATTGGAGAACAAGGAAAGAGTCCAGTGAGCGGGGATAAGACTCAGTGGTAAGAGGGTGACATGGCGTGCACTTAAAATAACCATCGATATGTCTTTCATTCTCTCTTTGTGTTCTTTGTTTTAGGCAGGGAGGGATCTTACTCGCAGCCTTGATGAATTCTTTATGCAGTCTGTAGGTCAGAAGTGGCTCTGCTAGACACCTGCAGGAACATTTAATGCATTACACAATGGGCCACAAGAAGTGTTATAATGATGAACAAAGACTGCTTTGTGCTGAATGCTACCTGAAATAATTCTTGAGGCCGCTGGTGATGGTCTTGTTGTCCCAGGCGTCTGCGTCCAGCTGCATATCAGCAGGAGCTGTGGATGCTACGAGAGAGTCAATTATAAATCATTTATCTACACTGATTGATTTTTAAATACACCCTCTATTGTCTGTGCTTAAGTTAAGCTTCCCCTCAAAGAAAAACATCCTACAGAGGAAATTAGGGTATTTTCTTACAGAACACGCTGGTCATCAACCGCTGCACTTTGGAGTTCACTCCCCCGGTCCTGTAGAGTCCCAGGGTGGTAATGCCTTGACACGAATTCAGACGTATTAATGTTATAGATAAACACCGTATACAATAATAAACATCAGATTTTATTTCTCTTGTTTTAACATTTTAATAAAAATGAATACCTCTTGTTTCAACCAGCTCAATACATTTCTTCACAAAGTTGAGGCCTGCCTCGTTGAGAAAAGCTGCAAAAGAGACGTGATCTATGATTCATTTCTGACATGACAAGATGTTCATAGATAGATACTCTCAAGCAAATAATGATAAGAAACAGAGAAAAGTAGGATACTCACTCTCCTCCTTTTTACTAAGCAAAGAAGGAAGAGTGTAAATCTGAAACAAAAAGGACAAAATCTTCATGTTAGTCTGAGAATATGACAATTCAACAATAATTATTTTGATGTTGAATGTGTTTAATAATATACAGCTATATGTGGATATTGGCTACCCTTGCTTTCCTGTATAAATGTTATTCCTGAAGGTTACATTTCTTTTAAATTCTTTATATAAACTATATATTTTCGTACAGGCTCTTTTCCATCCATCGCCTCCATCCATAGCCGCCTGTTGGCCTCAGAGAGCGCCTGCAGGGTGATGACGCCATGTCTGCAGAGAAAGAGAGGTTGTATTAACTCAGCTCAATGCAAAATGATCGAGCCCACAGAATATTACATGTTATCAACACAAGGCCTTCTGGTCATCGTTTTCCTCCTACCTCTCCACCACCTCGATGTCAAAGCAGAAACGTTTGTCAATGGAATCCCTCTTCCTTCTGACGCATGAGCGCAGCTTGAACACCTCCGGTGTGACGTTAACCACACCGTTCTGTTAACAGATGAGATGTTTCTGTTTCTTAGCCCGCAACAGGTTGTATTAAGGTTTTGTAAAGATTCTTACAAAGTTAGTGCAATTTCATTTGAAACGTAAACAGTGTTCCTTCTTAAAACTCCATTCACCTTCTGTATGACAGAAATGTAACTCTGGTAGGTCGGTAGAAAACATAAAAACTATGGCCTGCTTTGGAAAATATTCCATAATTATCTGTTCTGCCAGCTCACCTGTCTGCTGGCCGGTCTGGCCTCTGTGTTGCTCATGCTGAACATCTTGGAGCTTTTTTCATAAGTGCAGTAGTATCTGGTCCACACGCTGCCCAATGGGCCTATAACAAGTAAACACATTTTGTGTATGTACACTTGTGTGTGTAAACAAAACAGAATATATGATTGTATAATTCTAACATTTGGAGCAGAACTGAGAGAAAGAGCTCACGTTTCTCCTGTATGTATAGAAATCCCTCCATCGTAAAGCAACTGGGGGCTTTGAAGTCTTCCTCTGCAGAGCGGATCCTCTTCATCAGCCTCTCAACCTCAGCACGCGTACTTTCAAAGTTATTGCGAGCCTTATCCACAAACATAGGCATAGGAAACAACATTATAAAAAGAAATACATGTCTATTTGGAACATACAAAACATTTGAAAAGTTAGTCAGTGGTTACTAAGTTCAGTTAAGTAGTTTAGTGTGTAATGATGCTTATCTGAAATGAATACTCTTTTGCATTTAAAAAAAGAAAAGGTGATGCAACAGGCTTGTCAACTTTTACCCTACAGGGAGGAGACACAACATTTTACCTTTAAGGAAAGGAAAGGACAAACTGTTTTGTTTTTTTAAATGGTGAACTGTAGAGGAAGTACTAGATGTGTTTCTGTACAATGTTAATCCTTGGCTGAAAGTAGTTCCAATTGTGTGTTTGAACATGTTTAGAATATCAGGTGTTGTTTCCAGGATGTGCCGGTAGCATTGATTTTACAGAACTTTTTCTTAGTGGCTTAGGGGGCAGGTAGAACACCTTGAAAAACATACTTACAAATACTATTTACATGATAAACAATTGGGAGGTTTGAAAAGGCTTACATTCTGCAGGTTGAACTGGAGCTGCTGCTTGTAGGGATCAAACTCATTGGCCAGCTCGTAGCCCTCATGGTAGAATGTAAACAAACCCTGCAGGAAGGCCAATAACTAGCAGAGGGGAAAATCCACAGGAAAATGTTAGCTGGGAGTTTGGGGTGTGAGGAGTATAAAGAGAGGATTACAAGAGAATGATTGTCAATCATCTGTCAAGTCTATAAAGGAGAAGAGAAAAACTCGGCCTGTTGTTTGTTTTGCTCCCTTTGTTTATCTTACAACAAAGATTTTGCCTATGTGTTTGGTGGAAGAGATTTCTGTACAGGAAGTGCTTTTATATCAACAGGAAGCAGCTTTTACTGATATCTATCGCTAAAACATTTTTATCGCCGGCCGAATAGTGTGTATTACCGGTATGTGTGTTTTTTTCAAATCTGTCTTTTCCTGATCCGGGCTGTTTACACAGACACATGCTCATTACTGGCTTGGTTGCAGGCATGACTTGATGTTTACAAAACAGACTTGTCTGGCATATTTTCCTGTGATGAAACATTGTTTATTGTGGACAGTTTTCCCCCTCCAGCTTTAGAGCTGTGACGACCCAGCAGCTTAGATACATCTGAAGAAATGACATGAAAACTCAACAAAGAAAGAAAGAAAGAAATGCTAACAAAACCTGCTGTACTCAACTGAAGTGTGTATCCCTGGCCTTGCATTTAGTTATACAGTTGTGTTGTTCCCAAAGGCACATGAAAACAACATCACTATACGTGTTTATGTTCATGTGAACTCACCGGCTCAACAAATTCAAACTTCTTTCTCTCCTGCACTTCTTGGATCTTGAACACGTACTGCAGCGATGCATCATAGAAGACTTGCCTGTCTTTACTCATCTGTGAATCAGCCTGCAACAAAAAAATGAAAAAACTCATGTGAAGAGCTTTATGTTACCTCACACATGTAGGAGGAACTGGTTGATCGATTTTAGAAATCGAAAAGTTTACCTCAAGGAGCTGCGATTCCTTCTTTTTGGAGGACAGGCTGAGGTGTTTCTCCAGAACAGAGTAGTATCTTTCTGTCTCCTTGTCAAACTGTTTCTTTCCCTCCTTAGGAAGATAGATTTGTTAAGAACACAAATGAACACAGAGACAATGTCACATTTACACTACTTGAATATATCTTGCTTTCTTCAGCTTTTTCAGTATTGCTCGTTTTTATACCTGGGTCATAATTTAATGATTTATGATATTTGACTTTTTAATATTTACATATTTTCATCCAAAAATATTTTTGCTGATGAACTTCTCAAACGCAGTGATGATATGGATATTGGAAGAAAATATGTTGTATGAGATCAAAAACTCAAATTACAGTAGTTCAATCGTCCTTTTTACTTCAATATTTCAGTTTATTACAGTCAATGAAAACACTTACTGTAAGTCAAAATACAGTAGGCAGTTTTTCTCTTACTCTAATTTAAGTTGCAGTGAAACTAATGCAGATATTTGCATGAACAAGGTCTGACTACTTGTATCTTGTATTTAACAAACAAAGGTCAGAGGTTTTGGAAATGAGCTAACCAGTCTGGTCTCAAAATCTATGAATCACTGAAGAGGAGTCTTTGATAATCTAAATGAAGAGACACTGCCAAAAAAATTTAGGACAACAGATATTTTCCATAACAGCTGCAGCTCTAAACTTCCCAAGAAAAGCCTCACTTTTCTTGTTGCACAACATCAGCGGGAGGGTGTACTGCTCACACACTCCTGGGACATTCTGCAGTGAGCTGAGGGCTAAGGTTAGGGTTAAGGTTTCACTTTTAGGATTGTTCACAGCTCTGACCAGTTCTATTTTTTTTCTTAAACCTCGCCTTTCGTAAGACGGCGCTATATCTTGTGTTTTTTTTGCCTGTGAGAGAATAAGGAAAAAAGTGATAAATTGAATTATAAGACTGGAGACAGCTGCTGAAACCAGACACTAGACTCATTTGTGTTTACACTGCCTCACTGAGTTCAGCTTTCTCTCTGACTGTGACGCGCTCCCTGTCTTCCCTCTCAGCGTCCGTTCCCATGACCCTGTTACTGACACTGGACTGTCATCCATCGTTTATCTGAACAAATTGAATTCTCCAACCACTCACTGAAAGACCAACTGAGACCATAGTAGAGGAGGGAAATCTTTTAGATCACGACCCACAGAGTAATTTACACAAAGTGCTTAATGAACTGAACCTCACTTATTTGCTCCAGCAGAGCCAGGTAAATTGTTTAGTTGATTTGAGTTAATGATCTACATAGATATACCTTAACAGCTCCAATCTGCTCCTTACGAAACCTCTCAAGTGGTGAGATCAGCACGTCGTCTGCATTCTGGATCTGAGACAGAAACAGAGAAGACACAACTGTGTGTTATAACAATAAATAACATGACCAACTGCTCATTCAGTCTACATGGGGGCTGCTCTGATGACTTCACTGTTTGACTTGAAATAGGTTTTCTTCTATCTATTTGATTAAGCAAAGCTTTACTGTTATATTTTATTTCAATTTTCTTTAAGAAACATTATTTTTGACAATTCTGACACTTATCTTTCTTTTGATTGGAAACATTTGTTTTTAATTGATAAGAACAGAGGTGTCTAACATGTAATAGAGACTGACTGATATACTTATCAACCTGCCAATATTATCAGGCCAGTAATATCCTATGGATGCATTTTTTCATGAGACTTCTTCGTGTCTTAATGACGCCAAGTTTGTCCACAGATTGCACTCTGAGGACATTGTTTATAATACTCTCAGCACTGTCTGCTGCACATGTAGCAAAGCATCACAGCTGAGCACATGGTGGTTTGCACTATAGATGTGTTTACAGAAAGTTGTTTGTTTGGACAGCAGTCATTTGAGCAGATCGGCATGGTCAAATTGGTTATAAATTGTATTAAAAATCTCGATAGAAAAGGTCTATATTCTCTCAAATGCAAAAATAAACAGATGTCTGTAAACAATGTCTTGTCATTCCACTTGAACCCAATAGTAGTTGAACTCATTCTGGACTAAAAGCTATGACCCATTGACTAACACACCTAATATTTTCATCAATAGAGCCTTGCTGTTACATGACTAAAACCCCAGCAACAATACAAATTACCGTAAGAGGCTGATTATGTCATTATTACCGTAAGAGGCTGATTATGTCATTATAACTGGGGGGAAACTCTATTGTGCTGTTGCTCAAGTCGGTCTGCCATATTAGTGGCTAACAGTTTCCCCTGATCAGACATTTCCCAAGAATAGGTCCAAAGGTAGGATTCTAGTCAAATGTGTACAGATGATGATATACTAGGCTTGAGAATCTTATGCTATGATGTTGAGTCAAGTAGTTAAAGGGAAAACTACAGAGCAACTACCAGTGCTCTGGTGTTTATATTAGGTCCCAGTCCTCTTAAGTCATGAGTTCACATGTTACACAAATCTGTCACGTCTTGCTTTGCTCTGTCTGGTTGACTTAAGAATCAGACTCTAAATAACTTCCTCGTCCTGCATCATGACCTGACTTTCACTTCACGTTAGTTCCACTTCTGTGGAAAGGTCTGCTTTCTCTGTACAATCTTTTTCTGGTATATGACTACATACAGCATTAAACTGTAGAGAAACACTAAGAGACAGAGGAGCGTTGTCAAATTGCTATAATGGCCCTTTTAGGATGAACAGGTAGGGATTTCCCCTCGCTTGAATGGCCCTAAGACGCAATAATGACTGTATTAAAAGAGATTCAGCAGCATAGCAGTGGAAAAACTCTCATTTAAATTGCAGACACAAAAAAGGAAAGTGAGAGAGTGGACAAACACACACACACACACACACGCACACACGCACACACGCACACACGCACACACGCACACACGCACACACAGGACCCATTTATGGACTTTCCCAGGCAGTCAGAGCTTTGCTCACAGTCTCACAGGGGAATTGGCAGAATAGGTTCCACATGGTTCCTCTGTAACCAGACCGTGCACATAGCCACAAAGACACACACACACACACACACACACACACACACACACACACACACACACACACACAAACACCCACACACATGGCTATGCATATTGTAGCACACTATACACATAGATTTTGTGCAGAGGTATGCCGCCTTGCAGACAGTGCCAGACTCCAGTCACTCCCACACAAAGGCTTCTGGTTGATGGGCTCTGAAAGTCAAAGATGTTCTTTCCTAATCGTCAAGGAGCCCTAACTGGTGCAAAAAAAGTGGGAATTGTCCCAATCCGGAAAAACAGATTAGGACGAGAGAACTTGTGGTGTATTGAGTGCTGATGCCTTAGAAAGGAAGCAACTGTTCATGAAATCCTCATCAACAACTAACATCAACAATTTGCAACACAACTGGTACACAACAGTTTCACAAATAAAGTCGCACAAATAAAACAACTGGTTCAGACTTTGCTTTAGAAGGGGATTTTGGTGTATTTTTAAATCTTTTATCACAATTCAAGTGTTGCGTTACAGACATAAACATCTATAAAACAGTAATAAATCACATAAATCATGATAGAAAAAGTGTTCACATGCTGTGCCTACTGATAAACAGTACAGCCCTTTATTTCCACGTCACTTGAAAAGTCCCCTTTGATGTTGTCTTTGTTTTTCTATATTATCTTTTAATCCATCATTCTCCCTCTATTCCTTTGACACTCACACACATAAACAAACAAAAAAACAAACACACATTTATTTGCTTACCAGTCGTTTTCTCTCCTCCTCCATGGTGCTCAACAGCTGGGAGAACTCCTTCAATGACTGAGCTGTAAAAGAAAATATACACCACAAATGTTAAAAGACTGATCATATAAAACTGTATCGACTCCTGTTTCCTGAGATCCTGAGGGAGGGACATTTCCAACTCACCTATACTGATCTCATCATCTGTCTCAGCATCTCCGATACATTCAAACTGGAACTCCTGGAGAGACTGAGAGAACCGCTGAACAGCAAGAGAAAGACCTGAGGAAACAGAGAGAGTTTCAGCAATCTCATATTTGAAAGTAATGATTTCTAATATTGTATAATTTATTAATTGCGTCTGACAAAAAAAATCCTTAAATGAGATGAGTCAGCAAGTACACCAGTTTACACAACGTTTTGGCCCTAGGTTCAGGTACAATTTATGACAATAAAAAACAACAGCAGTGTTGTGAAAACAGAGAGCGTGGTTTAAGTTAAAGCATTTATATATAAATTATATTTGTTTGATCTCACTATCATTTGATGGAAACTAGGTATCAGTTAATACTCAACTAGGCATCAGAATCAATACAGCGAGGAAAACACTGAACTACATATCTAACAGCTTCACAATTGACCAATTTTTCACAAGAATGCTCTTGTTATTATTGCTCCAACTCAGTGTAATGCTTTCTTTCCCTGCGGGCAACAAGCATTACTTATCACTTTTCCCCTCCTAATAAACTATTTATATATTTTCTTCTGAGACTCTTGCAATTCATTCACTGAGAGGTCACAACATGTCAACCTGGCACAACCTACAACCACCTCCACTCACCAGCCTCACTCTCAGAAAACTGTGTTTACGTGTCTAAAGAACACTCTAATAACAGACACTCTTTATTCTCTGAGGTGTTAGAACACTTGGCAGCACAACACTGCCTTCTCTCACAAACACACCCATAACACTGTCCTGTGCCAGCTGTTTGTAACACTGCATTATACAGAGATAATAAAAGCTTTTAAACATCCTTTAATTGTACTTTATACTACATTACTGGCTGGTTATCAATGTGGGTAGGGTCAAAGCTTGAAAGTCAAAGGCAACACAAATAACAGTGAAAACACTTTTATTGGTATTTACATATTAAAACACAAGATGTGGGCAAAATTCAAAACCAAGAGTACTAAACTTAGGACAACTCAAACTCAATAATACATCTTTCTAATACTAAATAAGCTTACAAAAAAGAATCCATTAATGCTTTACTACAATATAATAACCAGCATTTTAAAAATCTGGAAACCTGTTTCAAATGTCTTTGTGTCAAGCTTCCTAAGTGTGAACAACAATGTATTCTGATTTGTTTTCTTGTCTATGGCAGTAATCTGAATATATTTCTTTAGTAGAGGTCACTTGAGGCTCTGAAAATCAGGGACTAACTTTTTTTTTTAAACTTTTTTTTTACACTGCAAAAACTTGAAAATATATTTAATCAACAATTAATTGCAGCAGGGCTCTAGGAAATTTCAGGATTTTAAATAAAACATAATCAGCTTTGATAAATGCTTTCTGTATCCTGGTGGATACACATATTTGACAGGCTGTGGGGTGGAGGGGCCTTAGGTCGGCGCAATTACTGTAATGCCATGACAAACACTCGTGGGGGGTGACATACTGACCATGAGCTAAAGTGTTGTTAGGTTTTCATTTTTAGTATATAGTATAGTTTATTGCAGTGATTATTATTGGGGTTGAGGGGATTTTGTTTTAAAAATAGTTGTAAAGGAACGGTTTATAACTGTGATGAGAAAAATGATGAATTGGATTGGATCAGTAACTCACTACAATTATTAAATCATTAATCACATCCTTCTTAAAATAGGGTCACAAAATGTTTAGGCTCTTACTTCTAAATATTGATTTATAGACACTCGCAGGAATACACATAATCAAACCTCAGTTTATAACTATAATATAGCTGGGACTCTGGTGACAGAGGTACAAGTCTACTCTACAGTCATCAAGATGTTTTACCACCGTGTGGTCAGTGTAATAGGTTAGGGTTAGACCTGTCTGTGTGTGTGTGTGTGTGTGTGTGTGTGTGTGTGTGTGTGTGTGTGTGTGTGTGTGTGTGTGTGGTAGGCAGCAGCAGCTTTCACTCCAATGGCCTCAACCAGTGTGTGAGCCAAAGATACCACAAGCTGCCACAAAGGGTAGGTGTGTGTCAGAGCTTAAACCTGAGGTCATCAAAAGAAACTCCAACTAAGTGTGTGGAGGCAGCTGCTCTGTGAGAGCCTTCATCAGCTGATCAAATTAAAATATGACTCCATCAATATGCATCAGTTTAACACAGACAATAAAACATTTACATTGTATTCAAAGATTCCCTGTGAGCCACTTATTTGTCTGTTGTTAGCCTACTTCTTTCAAAAAAAGGTACAAAATAAACTTTCCAATCACAGCCACAGTTATTAGCCGTCTGATTGAATACTCGTCATAGAATTATAAAACATTTTCAGACCTTTTTTTTATTTTTAAACAATGTACCTGTATGTATTGTTTCTAACCTGCTAGAAAAAACAAATAGCTTATGAACACCTACTAGCCCATTCTCATTGTGTTTAAGGAATCCAATCAGGACCTATAGACTACTTTTGTGGTATACTTGAAGAAAATAATTTTCCTCAGAAATAAGCAACATGCTGTATAAGCACAAATCAGTTTTGTTTTTAAAACTATGTTTGATAAAGGAACTCTACTCAAGATTCAAGATCAAGTTGTAAAGCAGCAAACTATTCAAGGTCTTCAACATGTCAATTGACTTCATGTCAATAAATCAGTTGATTATATCAACAGTTACTGAATAACTAATATGTTTGCCATTTATAAGTAGCGGGGACAAACAGACATCCATTGTTTCATGACCCTGAAAAAACATTTACCTGTTTTATAACAATCTTTTGGTCTGGCTAGCACAAAGGAAAGTGCAGATTTTGGGGCCTCTGCCAATTTGTGTTGTTTTTTTGATGTATTATTACATTTTGGACAAACGAAAATCATCTGCTTATGACTATTTCTTTATAAGCTTTACCAAATAAGAGGACCTAAATGAGTTTAAAGTATAAATAGCTAATGATGGTACAACAAAGAGGAGATTCAGTCTTCACATCACTCATATTTAGGCTTAATAACTAGGCTATATCTCCTACTGCAAAATAAGGTCAGGTCTAACCTATACCTTGTGCAATAGGTAGGCCTAGTGATAACTAACGAAGCTGCTTTTACCACATAAACTTAATTCACTATTATCAAATCTAAACTGAGTGAAATGTGGACCAAACTCTGGCTCGGTTTGAATAGATGGCCTTGGCTCTCCCTCTGTTATCAGGCAGCACACCGTGCAGCTGGTTGCTGCAACATGCACTTTTAAAACAAGTTACCAATCATGTTTGTACTCACTTTTGAGAGCAGATACGAGCATGTTTCCATCTTTGATCAGGTCTTTTATAAACCTGTTGGTGCGCTCCAGCTCTATCTCATGGCACTGCAGTCTCTCTCTGAACTCCGGACTGTCCAGGAAAGAGTCGCTGAACTCCAGCGTCGGTAGACCCATCGATGAACTAATGCACACGGGTTGTGTTGTTTAATAGATAACAAAAAAAGACGCGATGTCTGTTACTTTCTGTGAGATTCACTCGAGAAACAGTGATTCCCGTGTGCTCGGAAAGTTTTGGACAAAAATTTCTTCCAGCTGCTTTTTTTTTTCTCATGCCTTTCTCACTTTTTTCCCCCCTCAGAACTTCCGGACACTGGAAACACAGCAGAGCCTCGTACACAGAGAAACTGGCTAGGCTACACGACGAACTCTACTGCTGCTACTCTCTCGTTTATTAATAGATATAGTTAACGTAAACATCGCTCCGACTTTCCAAGTACTGGTTTCTTCATTAAAAAACAGCGGTGGGTCGCGGAATGAAAGCGGCAAATCTATGTTTTGGATGTGTGAAAGCTGTAAGAAAAAAAAAACTTTCTCGCTAACTCCGTCTGCATACGGCTCTGAATGAAGGCTTGTTACTATGGGAACGGGAGACTCCTGCTGGCGCGTGCAGAAATCAGCGCCTCATCTGTAATAAATCATAACAACAATATTAATAATAATAGTGATCATCATCATGATATTATTATTATTATTATTATTATTATTATTATTATTATTATTATTATTATTATTATTATTGTTGTTGTTGTTATTATTGTTATAATTATTGTTATGTTAACTCATGATCAAGCATCATGAGTGCAGTTTGGTTCAAAAACATCAAAGCTTCTAAACTAGCAAGAGGTTGAAGTAGGATTACTACAGAAGCTCATGTTGTTTCATATAACTTAATTAAGTAAACTGAGTGAAAAAGCAAGAAATTCCAGTGTGTGTGTATGTATGTGTGTGTGTGTGAAACGCCATTTGAATGAAGTTTTTATTAAGAGGTAAGTAAGATTGTGTGTTGTCTGGGAATCATTTTGTATGCTTCTCTCTAGTTAAAACATTCTCGGCTACATTCAAATAACTCAAAATAAAATATTTCTATCCAATGTAAAGCAATTGTGTTTCAGTGTTTGTAAAAGCTGTAAGGTTTTTTTTCTGCCTTTTGCACAGATGTTATGTAAGGGGTTTTAGTAGATTCCAGTACAATGGTTTATAACAAAAAATAAATATACAGTAGGAATCACAATAAGTGACATCATTCGGTGAGAATTTATACACATATTATAATAATCCTAGTTTAAAGTAAAACTTGTGTTGTACTTCCTTCAGTCCTTAACAAACACTGACTTCAGACAAAAGTCTATACTAATATAACTATTTGAACAAACTTGCCCACCATGCAATTCTTTAAAAGTGCATTAGCTTCGATGATTTTTGTGTGAGTTTACAAGTCTAAGGTTCTCTACTGAAAAGTTACAGGCTGAAACAGGCCCTCTAATGTGAGAGAAATATAACTTGGCTGTATGCCAGCTGAACACTGTGAGGCACACAGCATTGCTGAGTGCAGGCCAAATGCTCTGGGGCAACCACTGAGTTCACATCATGTTTTGTTTTTTTGTGTGAGTGGTTTGTGTGTCTGAGTGTAGTTTATCATCACTGTACTTGCTACTGCACATCTTACTCAAGTCACTAATCTAAGACATCATATTTTAGTCCTCAGCTCAGCACGAATAGAACATGTTTACCTGTATGCCCACCCATTAAATCAGCCCCCACTTACACTGGACCATTTCCCCTTTAAATCCGTCTCTCTCAGAGCTGCTGCAAAAGTCCCAGCCCTCTGTTGGTGGTCCAGCAGCTTTATTGTCTCAGTTGTTAACTACTGTATCTGTCACTCACAGGAGAAGAATATAACACCATGACTACAGGAAACAAGCTTTAAGTAGCTGTGTGTACAACCTCACACAAACATACATACAGAACAGAGAAAAGTGCACAGTCTAAGAAAACACTGCACAACTGTACCACGTCTTGTGTTTTCTACATTGAAGGTAAGAAATACAGTTAACTCTCCTTGGGCCTTTTTTAAGGCTTTATACTGGCATTTCTATTTATTTTGGATACAAGTTGTATCAATTTTTTAGGCTTACAACCACAGTTTAAATTTGAGCTTTTCCTGTGTTCACGTAACCTCTGCTTATTTCTACAGTAGCTGTTGTACCAGACACACAGCATTCAGGGCTGCTGGTGATTCTCAGACACAATGTTCATCAAACATTTTGACCTACGACACCCCCGCCGCTATCATGACTTATTTCTGCCCAGTCGACCCTACAGGGGAGAACCACCTGCAGTGGCAGGTAAAGGTTTTGCGTTCCCAGCTCCAGTTGTATTAATGGACCCAAGCTGTTGTTGTTGTTGTTGTTGTTGTTGTTTTTTTATCAGATGGTTGTTTAAACTTTTTTATTGTGAAAGTTAATGGGGTTCATGGAATTGAAGGGTGAGGTCCTCAAAAATACGAAAAACAGATATTTGAGCAAATAGAAGATTAATCACATCTCTACACACCCACTAAGAAGTTTATATATTAGTCTGTCTTTAGTTTGGATCAAATCTTCTGCTTTGACAGAAATAAAACTGTTTCTTATTAAAGTTATCATTGTCATGTGAATGTTTGAGCACCAACATACAGTAATTTTCTGATTTACCACAGTAAGTGGCCTCAGAGAGTCACGATCAAGTAAACCAAAACATCTAAATGACTTCGGGAGTTATAGTTATCTAAAATTTGATAACGACACACCAATTATGGAACGCCAAAACAAAAATAATCATTCACTTTTAAAGCCCACTCTTGACTATTTTGTGTTTTCCTGATATCCTCAGGGTATCTCCTCTACCCAGACACTCCTGCAAAGATGGAGACAACATCCCAAGAAGATTTTTGCTTCAGACCGGCCCCACAGCAAGATAGAGGCAAAGGTCTACAGTCTTATCTCAAACTCAACTTAACTGTTTTATTATAAGCTGTTTATGGTGTTTGTCAGGACATATGAGAGAGTCAGCGCTGAAAACAAGCATTCCAGGCAGTGTGTTGAGTTTGATAAAGAAAGTAGAAGACTTGAGGAGGTAGAAGGGAAGGGAGTGACTAAAAAGAGTCATAATTGTTTTTACAGATGTTGCCTTTATTGGCAAAGGATGACACATTTCATCACTATGTATTAAATGAAATCCTTACCAAGAAAACGATTTCCACTCAGGAGACTGTGTTGCCAAGAACACACAACAGGAATCCCGTCGTTCTCCTTTCACAATCTCCAGACAAACAGGAAGAGGAAACATTAGCAGGGGCTGGGAAATACAGGGGGATGAGCGAGGGGACAACGGCGATGGGACAGCTGTGAAAAAAGAGCAAGTCGCAGCAGAGATGCAGTCTCAGTATCAAAAGGATTTCCCTCCTCCATCTTCCTGTTGCAGGAGACGGACACCTGCCCTCCCACAGCCAGACAACATCTGCATCAACCCTGCATTCAGGTCAGTCTGTCACTATCACATGTTGCTATAGGTTAATATTAATAGAAGCTCATCATTATGTGTGTGTGTGTTTTGGTTCACAGATTCGAATTCAGCACAGTCCAAAGAGAGACTTACCCAGGTTGGCCGGTTGTGAGCTCCAGGTTTGCTGCAAAGCTGAGAGCGTCTTCGTCTGGAATACCAAACGTCACTTACAGACATTAGTCCATAAAAAAAAAAAGTTTTTTGTGTGTGCACTTTTTAGTAATATATATGTTGGACAAGAGAGTCAAAACTTCCCAGCTCATCTATGATCCCAAAAATGACAATTTATTTAAAACAGAAATACAGAAAATGTTTAATTCCATCACTTTGAAACAGTCACTTGCCTGTTCTAATCATGTACTATAAAAACACAGAAATAAAAATAGTTTAAAAGGCAGGTTTTGTGGGCATTATGGGCTTTATGGGCATGTCTGCATATTATACAATATAAATAGTACAACATATTCACAAGTTTGTGTGAGAGGTTTGGTTGAGTTGCCCTTTCCTAACCCCTCACAGCACAGTTTGTATCTGTCTGGAAATACATATTTTCAGTCAGTAATAAATGTAACCACATCCATTGGTTGCTTGGTTGTTTTCTGTTACATACAGTTACCAAGCAATCAGATCTTTCCAGCACAATCTCTTTTCTCTAGTTTGGCTTCTTCTCGGGTAGCAGTGATGAATTTCCCAGCAGCAGGTCGGGTTGATGACCAAATGGATTGATGATGCAGGATATGCATGGAGTCACAGGAAAAACATCTAATGGACTAATGCTAACAACAGATCCTTGTATTAATGACTTCAGCCATACTTGTTGTCATCTTGAGAAAAAACAATCCACCCTGTGACTCATAAGTGAAACATCATCTGCTCTGTCGGACCAGAACAGGGATCAGAAGAAGTCATAGGACTGTTATCTTTTCACTTTGAACTACTGAGAGATTGACTTCCCAGGATCTATCAAAAACTAATTGCATCTCCTAACTTCATTGGCTCCAACAAAGAGCAAGATAAGAAGCTTTAATGGAAGCAAATGGAGCTGAAATTTTATTAGAACACAAAGTTTTAGACCATAACATTTGCATTAAGCTAAATGTTTTATAGATCAGTATACGAAACAAGCTTGTTAGTGTGTGTCTGACCTTTATTAAAAAAAAAAACAACATGTTGCTCTTGAACAGTGTAAAATGAATATTAGGAGGCATTTAAGCTATTAGAACAAAAATTAGGACACGTTGTCTCTTCGGCTGAATTCACTTGTTGAAAGGCACTTTGCTGTCTCAGGGTTAAAACACAAATTCACCGTGATAAAATGATTCATTGTAACATATTAACTGCTAAATGTACATAACATAGGAGTGTGAGAGGTAAGAAACTCCCAGAGAAATCACAACATTACAAGATGAAAACGATGCTTCAGGTTAACTCCTCAACACAGTCTCTTAAAATCAAACAATAAAACTTGTCATTATCCACATAGAGGATATATACCAAGAGAAGGCAATAACTGAAAAGCTAAACTTTCCATAGCCAGCTGCATTCGGTCCACTTAAACACTCATTCTTAGAGACAGCCAGATGATTTGAGAATGTTTCACAATCTTCTTCTAAAGCAGATGAGATTATTCTCATGTCATCATCTCCTCTCCCGGTGCCTGCTCCGGTCCCGCTGTCTGCGGTCCTCCCTCTCTCTGCCTCTGTCCCGGTCGTCTCTCCTCCCTCTGCCGCCCCACTCGGCCTCTCTGTGTCGGTCCCGGTCTTCCCTGTCTCTGCCCTCTTGTCTGTCCCACTCTCTCCCTCCACCTCCACCTCCGCCGCCCCACTCCTGCACCGGACCGACCCCGAGGTTAATGGGTTTGCGGAAAGGCCTGTCCCGGCCGCCGAACCGCAGCTGTCCGGACTCTTTCTTCCCTCCCTGTCCGCCGCCGAGCCTCCGGGGGACCCACCCCTTGAGGGTCCTCTCCTGTTCATAATCCACAAACACTTCATGCTGGTCAACCACCAGCTTGTTGGCGTCCCGGCGGGCTCGGACGATGGACCGCTCCTCCTTATACTCAATGAAGGCATACCCTTTGGAGAAGCCTGTGACGATATCCCGGACCAGTCGCACTCGCTGGATGTCTCCGTACTTGGAGAACACTTGGTGCAGTTTGTCCTCTGTTGTCTGCGGGTTTAGACGAGCCACAAACAGGGTGAGCAGCGGGTCCCCAACAACACCTTTGTTGGGTTTATACCGGGCCCCCATAGCCCTCCATACCGCCCGGTCATGGGGCTCCACGTCCGTGCTGTCGATGCTGCCAGCTTTCAGCGGGTCGAACACCTTCGCTATCGGACTCCAGTCAACCATTTTACCAAAACAAAAAACGAAAAAGTCCAGTTGAAACCTTTCCGCTTTTTATTTTTCGAAATAAGCCGACAGAAAGCAGCCTGCAGCAAACGCGTTCTTCAACAAAAAACATTCCGTGTAGAAACAGGTTTTGTCAGTCATCGTTTTTAAGGTTCCTACTTATACTTTGTTCGTACGTTGTTGAGATCATCGACTATCATTTTCACATAGGGACAAAATAAAGTTTCATAAATACAATTAAAAAGTAACTATAATAAAATAAAATAAATTGATGAACAATGACAGTATTTTTTTTTTTTTTTACCACTTATCTTACATTATCCCAATATAATATGCCGTACACACCCACACATACATGTGCAAGTACAAGGTCAAACTCTGTGATCTCTTTGCCCATTCAAGCACACTTGTTGTCATGTGTGTACTCCAAAGTATATACTAACAATCACAACTTACACATAATGGTTGTATAACTTTTTATAATAAAAGTCATAAAAAATTAAGTCTCTCATAAAAAACCAAACCTTTTTTCTCCACTGAAGCATGGCGTATTCTCAGTTATCATGGAGCTAAATAATAGGTCAACATTGAAATGGTATTTTGAAACAACCTCCCTTGAAGGCTCTCTTACTAGTTGTACTTATACATTTCAAGACATGTAGGCCTGATATAGTTTTTTCCTTTTAAAAGACGTCTTGGCTTAATCAAAGGTGAACATCCAACACAGTTCATTCTCATTCGTGTGTTCATGGACTCCACACTAGTTCACCAACAGGTCAATCAGGCAATTAAAACGTCATTCCTGTTTCTAATAACAAATGTGCTTTGTCCTCTATGAAATGGATCCTGATGCAAAGAGAAGCACTTTCTGTTTAGTTAGTGATGTCAGGAATCCGATAGCTTGATTATTATTACTCTGGATTTGAGACCGTTTCTTAAGCAAAACCATATGATTACCTTCATCTCATTACGCATTCAAGAATTAAACAACTGTAAGTATTAAAACTAATGATGGGGTTCATTCTTTAAGGAGTTGGAAGTGTTGAAACTGTTACATTTTAATTGTGGCAGCCATTTGTATGGTTGTTGAAAAAAAGGCTTATTACAGTATTGAAACGACTCCAAACATGTGCAGCCACAAGTATAAAAAATAAACAAGAGTTTTTTTTTTAAAAACACAAAGTATAAATAAACACACTCTTATTTTTCTATATTGGTTCAATACACTGAAGTCCATTTACACGGAATGACAGATTGTCAAAGTCTTTCATTTAAATTCCAAATCCCAATGCAGGCGGTGAACTCTTGAGACACAGGACTACAGAAAAATTATTTTTTAATAAAATAGTGAAAAACATCATTCTGGCTCAAGATTGAATCAGCTTTTTTTCTTCCAAATATCTGGACACTGTCACATAAAATGTCAATAGATATCACTTCACTTCTATGTACAGTAATGTAGTTTATCAGTTCTTTATAATCTTATGTCCATTTACAGTGTCAAACTGCTTTACAAAATCCTGCTCCTAGTTCAAAGAGTCATTTCTGCTGAGCAGACAACAACATGTAATTTATACTCTTTTTCAGCTTCTGTCTTCAGCTCCACCATTTATCTACAGGTTTCTGTTTGCCATTACATGTCCTCCACGCTCCATTTATAGGCGGCATCCTGGACGGCCTTCTTATCTGCTATACGCGTGTAGCGTTTCTGTTCAAAACCATTTGACCTGCAAAAAAAGACAAAACAAATAACACTGTTACTTTTGCAATCAAATCCCCAACTTCATCTTCAGTTTGTTTGATGCTTCAGAGCAAACCTTTTATAAAGGGCCATCAGTTTTAATTCAACAAAGAAGCCCAAAAAATTATTATTTTACACATAATAACTCCATCAGAGAGAATTTAGAGAATTTAATGAATTACAGATGTATTCATGTGGGTCAAGACAGGGACATCATACGATTGCATTCTTTACATTACAAATACAAGTCACTGACGTTCACAAACTTTACCTGTCAACTCCATCCCAGCGATAGCCTGGTGAAATATTGAAGCGATTTGGAGGGGGTGGTGGACCCTTATAACGTGGTTTATCTGCAAAAACAGCAAAAAAAAACCTTAGTATACACATTATAAGTGGTTAAAAAAATGTATCAGTACATTCGGGGAACAAGGTAAACATGTATGTAACCCTTCAAACCTTGTGTTCTTGAATTGCGGACTTTTTTTCGTCTGAGCATGGCAGCCATGGGATCTCCCTCTCTTTCCTGCTCTCTCAACATGCGGTCAAGATCCTCGTCATCGCAGTGACGTGCCAGCGGCTTGTGAGCTTCGTGCACTGCATCCTCGAGTTTCTGCTGTTGCATCTGGCCCTGTGCCAACCTATAAACACATGTTTACTTAACTCATGGAAACCAGCAGGCACATTCTCTGGCCTTCACTATTGTGTTAACACCTTTAGGCAGACTTACCCTTTTCCCCACTGAGCGTATTTCTCATCCTTTGCTGCTTTCTCTCCAGCCTTCTTTTTCTGTTCTTCCCTCTCCGTATCTAAATCCCTCCTCTTACCGCTCTTGTCTCGGAACACCGTCTGAGCATTGCGAGATTCATCTAGGAATGACAGGAAAGTTGTTATAAATGTCATCTTACTCCACTGAGTTCTTCAACTTGAAGGTAACGGTGTTATATTGATATATGAGATGTAAAAGTTATTTTAGCTGATCTTGTGAAGGAAGCTGAGCTCACCTTCGAGTGGCTGGTTGTGTCTTTCTCTGCGTCGGTTCTCCTCCTGCTCTTTCCTTAAAACATCTACTGAAACTAGACCGGATTTTCCACCGGAAAGCATCCTTGGACCCTAATAACAGTGAAACAGCATGTATGCGAGTGATCAGAAACTGCATACAAAAAGCAATTTTGAAGCAAACAACATTACATGACACTTTTCCAACACAATTTACTCACATGTGACTGGACAGGCTGACGAGGTGGTGACAGATCGCCATCCGAGTCCTTTGCACTCTGTGGCCGCCTTCTGGGTGGCGACTGGTCAGAATCAGAGCCCGCTCTTGTTTTTGTGCGCCTCCTTGGAGGAGACTGGTCAGAGTCTGAGGCTTGTCCCTTTAGAGGCCTTTTCCGTGGGGGTGACTGGTCCGAGTCTGAATCATGCCTTTTCGTAGCCTTCTTTGAAAGCTTTGGCCGCCGAGGATCAGGAGAACGTTTCTTTCTGGATGGTGACAAATCTGAAAATGCAAAACATAACTGTTTGGCAAACGGTTAACTTACTAAACATTTATGTGATAAGAACTTTCCTTTAAAAAGGAGCAGTCACTAGGCCAGATGTAATTTCAGATGAGAGTGGACCTTGCAAATATTGTGACATTGGTTTATAATCCATCACATTTCACTTAAATTATATAAATGTTTATTGATACTATGAATCATGTTAAAAAAAAACTGAATTTCCCCTCGCGGGATTGATAAAGGATCAATTATTATTATTAAATGTTCTACAGTTATATTGTCATATTGTTAAAATCAAACTGGAACTTAGTGAGAAAGTCTCTTCTCATTTTCCTTCCACTAATGCTTAAAGAGATCTAGAAAAAATAGTTTTTAGTTTGACCCGCCAATATCAAGATACAACATTTGCTATATATTTTCTACACAACTTGTCAGATTAAAATACAATACTTAAATAAAAAAAGGAGGTTTATATATTTTACAAAAATATTCAGGTTGTTTGGATTAGTGTGCAGTTTTTATTTCAGTAAGATCAACTTACTCTACACAGAAAGACACCAGGTATAGCCTCAAAATGACTTCTCATCACTTACCTTTACTTTGTACCTTCCCAGATTTTCCTGACTGTTGCCTCTGAGGTGACAGGTCAGGGGAGTCATGGCGGCCTCTTCTTGGAGGAGATATGTCTGGAGAGTCATGTCTAGTCTTTCTGATGGGAGAATCATGGCCACCTCTCCTCGGTGAAATCTCTGGCGAATCATGGCGACTCCTGCTCGATGGCTCAGCCTCTGAATGCTGTGGCCCTCCTTCTATCAACTCTTCTGTGTCCTCATTTTCCTCAGCTTTAAGTAGAGGAGACTAAAAGTAAGTAAACCTGTTCACTGGAGACACTTCAATCTAAAGTTATTTGTTCAACAACACCAATTACCTCCAATTATTTTCCATCTATTGCTTGTTCTGAAGTTTTCCAGTTGTTTAATTTCGTCTGGTCTCTCGTCGATCACCTCTGCAATCTGAACAGATTAACACTGAGATGTTTAAAAAAAATATTTAACACTCATCATTGATTATATGTCATAATTGATGAAAAACTGACATGGAAACCTCACATAGAATATGCAAAGACAAAATTGTGTAAATGTATTGGTGTTTTTGTACAGAGCAAAGGACAGTTTGGATTCTGCTTCTCTCCATATGTTGTACTGTTCGCTTATTCTTCCATATTTCACTTATTGCAATGAGGAATGGGGCAGCACGTATGTGACCAACACTAAACCTTTGTGTTACAGAAAAGAGCGATCAGATTTATAAACAAAGTGAACGTTAGAGAACATACTGACAGACTGTTTATAAGCACACATGTGTTGAAATTTGAGGATCTAGTTCACTTGAAAACATTATTAGTCATGTTTAAAGCTAGAAATAGATCATTACCCGAAAATGCACAGAAGCTGTTTGTATTTACATCTATTGAGGAGGATCATAGACGAAGATTTAATATTTAAAAGTCCACTTGCACGCACTACATTAAAACGAATGTGTATCTCAGTAAATGGAGTTAAATTATGAAATTCTCTCGATAATCATTTAAAACGCTGCTCGAGTATCATTCAATTTAAAAGAATGTATAAAGAAAAGGTTCTGGGAAATTATTAATGTATTGAGTTAATCTAACTGATTGTTTCTATATTGTTGATCTATTTTTTGTTTTGTGAAAGAAAGAGAGAACAACAGGTTATAGCCACCTTATTCTGTTAAACAGAATCTTGTGTTATTAGGAGAAGGGGGGGGGCAGGTATTATAAGTTGTCTTCTTCCTGCTCCTGTTTGCTCATGAACAGAGTTTCAGCATCAAGACAAACTATTTTTTGTTGTGTATTATGGTGTTGAAACCATACACTGAATTGAGCAAAATAAATTAAATAATGAAATGAAAAATGAAATGATTATTCAACGCCATCTTCACCATAGTAAACATCATTTAACACATCTTGTATTTGAATGTTAAAGCCAATTATTGCAATCAATAAGCTATTTTTTTTAGGGTTATATTGTTATATAAACCATTGAGATGGTACACAGTATTTATTGGGGAATGCACTACATCTCTAAGTAAACAAAGCTTAATTAAGTGTATTAAATTGTAAGAATATTTGATTATAAATTAAAGCTTTATTCAAAAAATGCATAGAATCACTTTTGTCTTGGTATAATACGTTACAGTAACATATTTTTATATAAGATTAGCAAACAAATGAACTGCGTTTATGCATATTAAGTAAAGGGATGTTTTTAATGAAGGAGGCTGATCGACCACAGCCTCACTGATTGAATGGAGGGAGCTAACCAGCTAGCCTCACGATAGCCAAGTTGAGTTCCTACCACTGGAGCCTCCTCCTCGTCCTCTTCCACTTCTTCCTCCTGTTTGACCAACTGCTTCCAGTCGATGTCATCGTCCACTATTTTCAAACTTGATAAAAAAATAAAAAAATAAAGTGTGTTAAGTAGCGTTACATGCACAAAACAAACACCTGAAGTCACCGAGAGGCGCTACACAGCTAGCTGCATGCTAACCCATGCACACTGCAGGTTACAACTTTAATCACATGTTTTCGGTAACACACCCTTTTTCAGGAGCCTTAAGACGTTTCTTTTTAAGCTTCCCCTTTGACTTCTTATCACCTTCACCGGCGGATAAATAACGTTTTAAGTATTCCGCTTTGGATAGTTCGTTTCCCTTTTTGCTACCAGTTGAGGCTGCCATCATGTTTTTTAAAAACTACGGCAAGCGCCGATGGTCAAGAACGCGAAGTGTGGCAAAGTTCGTCACATTACAGTAAAACTCTCACTATCGGCGTATGCTAAGGACTGGAGGACTAATGTATATTTGTTTTTTTAATAAATGTTAACAACAAGTGTGTGTAACTTAGAAAAGTCTCGCTTCAAAATAAGTTTTTTGTAACTGACAGCAGTTGACATCTCCAATGAAACAAATGGATCTGGGGAAAATGCCCCTTATTATAATTTGTAATAAAAGAGAATCTGTTTGAAATACAGTGAAGCATCATTCAAAATGTAATAGTATAATAATACTGATACTGTATTTTGATCATCATTGACATAATCTATGGTTTGATTTCGAAATTGTATTCTCTTTAATTCTAAGTTTGTTTTTCCTCGTTATTTATAGATCACTCAGGTCTTTAAAATCCAGCACAGTACATTTGTTGTAATATGGGTTGATCAAATGTAAAATTAGAATAAATTGTGAGTTTAGAAGCACTGGAGGACTTTTTGATACCTCTGGCTTTTGAGGTCAAATCAAATTAAAAGAATAACAGCACTGAGTCTGTATGGTCCAGTGTGACCGCGCCCTCAGGGCACTATGCAGGATAGTGAGTAGACTGACTCTTCAAATGCAGCCGCGAGTTCTCAGTTTAATCCAGGTTTAGACAGAATATTATACTTGTGAGGATATCAGTATTGTTCATTTTAAGCTGTTCATATGCAGCTTTAATCTTCTGTCCTTGGGCAGGGATGGTATTTGCCTTTCCCACTCTCCTATTGTCATCGTCTTACCACTCACTTATCAAAATGCTGACTCATAGCAGGTTTGTATAACAATTAAATAAACCCTCATCTTAAGAAAAACTTCTGATTTCCAAAATTCCAAAATTATGAATAAGGTTTATCCTTTTTATAATCATTTGTAATTATATGATAACTATGTTATCGTATATAGTATCAACACTAAATTCATACCAAGTCCATGTTTGATTCTATTAGCAACCCTTTATTGAAAACAAATCCTGCAGCTTCCATAAAATATTTACAGGTCAAGATACTTATCAATGATCATATTCAAATACATACATCTGTTTTTTCCTCTGCAGCAAATCTTATCTATAAACATTGCTTCGAATCAACAATCTTTTTTTTGTCCTCATCACTCTTTATCACTCATATTAAGAAAAACATTAATTCAGTGCTCTCTGCAGGAAAACAAGAGAAGGAGTAACTTTTGCAAGTTGTTGACAACTTTTACATGTGGGTGTTACTGGGGATGTTTGGAGATGCGGATGGATGCACAGACATGGTTAGATGTGAGAAGGTGCAGTTGCAAGCCTTTGTTTTTGATGTTGTTGTTCTTTTAGCTGTGTGCTTGATAGAAGGAGAGCAGCAGACAGATGATCAGGGAGCAGGAGCTCTTCAGAAACATGCTCACAGCCGAACACGGGGCAAGTTGCTCTGCAGAGGAAGAAAAGTGGCATGAAAACAAAGGACTAAACCCTCTTGAAACTTTCTCCCACACATTCACAGTCGATACACCTACCTCTCTCCACAGTGATTCTGTCACCTATCCCGGATACTTGGCACATGTAGGTGGTGTTGTATGGCAGTTTGTCTATGAAGCCTGGCAAGGTCATTCTGTATCCATGAGGCTCAAGCTCCTCCACATAGCTGCCTTTGACCTGTCCTTCTGCTGATGAACCGGACACATTGGTGTTAATGAGTGACTCTTTGGTTCCGATCGACCAGGAGAACTCATAGCTGTTGATCTTGTTGGGCTTGGGCGGGACCCGACAGTCTACCCTCAGGTCATTGTCATCTTCCACACACACAGAGATCTGCTGACATTGTGCTGGTATCAGCAACACTATGACTGGACACAAAAGGACATATCAGAGGTGGGACTAGATATCCCAAGTAGAAGATACCAAAGTAGAAATACCTCACAGAAATAGCTCTTACCTCCCAGTACGCCATAGAGAAACAGAGACTTTAGCATGATGAGGTAGCACACATCAAACTGTAATAAAAGGGAATGTGAGACAGAGAACATTATTACAACATACAAACACAAGTAAAATTTAAAAAATGAAACTCAGACAGGTTTTAATTTTGCACTGACATGCCAAATGCTGAACTTTGATCCATTCAAATCAGGGTTTCTGAAACAGGTGGTCTTACTCTCCATGTGTGTGAGGTCATTTTAGGAGGAGGTCATGAAATCATTTACAGTAAAGAGACTAAATTCACCAGTGATTCTTAAAACCATAAACTGATAATAGAGATAATTATTTTTGCTATTGCAAACAGAAGTTGGTTGCCAGGTTGAGTTGCTCTGTCCAACGGGACATGATGTCAGAGCGAAAGATTACACCATTATTTTCCCTGGTCTGTCTTTTCTCTGTTTGTTACACTATTCCCCACATTTCACAGTGCCTTTGTCAGTTTTATTTACCATCGTCCCAAGCAAAAAAAAACAAAAAACAATACTGTTAAAACATGTCTGCACATATAACTACCCTTTCTTATCCTGCCCTGTCTCTCTGTATGTTCTAGCAAAGTCGATCGCTTCCTAATGTGACCCTGAAAGCTTGCATGCTTCTTTAAGGTGGAGCTGAACATCTTCCAGCAGCCTTACCCCCTGTCAGTTCTGGATGATGAAGCAGTTCCTGCCTTTGCGCTCTTGTCTTGTAGGTGATAAACAGCTGATGGTGGTCCCCTCCGTCAGTGTGCAGCAGCAATGCAGACCATCTCACTTCTGAGTCAAGGTGGGAGCCACATAGAGAGGTGGAGAGACGGTAGGAGGGACGAGGATGGAGAGCAGAGTGCTGATTCGCCTTTCTCCTCTGCAGTGCCTGACGGAGGACGCAGGACATGCAGGGAGGGAGGGAGGCAGGGCAGAAACTTGGTCAGCATCATCATTTAGTAGCTTGTTGTGACCTTCTCACTTTTCTTTCTGGTTCTCACTTAACCTTTGTGTCCTGTCCTGATTTACCCTTCTCTATATGGTAGTCTGATACTGTAACATCTAATAAGAAATTACTGTCATTTTCTCTTTCCTGTGGTGGAAAGATGGACTACCTTGAACTATTTTAAGGTGGTATTTCTACACCTACAGAGAGATATTTAAGATTAGTGACATCTTGCTTGCACACTGTGATTTTCTTTGACCCACTAAACATTTCTAGCACTGTCATTATACCACATGAATCATGTACAGTTGCTCAGTGTCTCCATCTAATGGCTACTAAAAGAATTTCAGTCAGTTAGATGCAGTTCACAGTCTGCACCACAGGGTGCCAGTATTGGACCGTGACAATTTTTTCACGGTGGCTGAAAATGCATGGGATGGACATGAGTAACAAGATTTTATGGAACAAGAATGTAACCTAGAAAACACCTCTATTAAGCTTATAAGAATTAATGAAACGTTGCATGCTATGACCTTTTTCTCATCCATTTTGAGGCACACAACCCAACATTTATAAGTATGTTCTGTAATCTTACCATTGCCAGTAATTTTCAGTAATCAATCAGTATCAGAAATTCTTTATTGGGCCGTTACAGCAGGAAATCTAGGAATCTAAAAAATGTTTTGACTAAAATGTATCTCTCTATTGAATTTACCTCCTTTATAAATCAGAACCAGAATCAGAATCACTTTATTTATTCCCAGGGGGTAAATTTGGGCTTTACAATCGCTTCCACACAGATTTTAAACACAAAGAGGTAAGATGAATAAACAAGATATAGGGATGACATATGTAAATGTAATAATATAGAATAAATAGGAATGTAAGAAATACATCATTAAGTACAGATATCAGATATAGTAGCATGTATAAAATATGAATAGATGCGTGTCTAAACTATGAACATGTGTGCATGAAGTAGATTTTTTTAAATTAAATAATAAATAATGAATGGTGTATATATAGCGGTGAAATAAGTCCACAGGTCAGACAGTGTCTGACTCTCAGAGGGAGGAGTTATAGAGTTTGATGTCAACAGGCAGGAACGACCTCCTGTGGCGTTCTGTGGTGCATCATGGGGGAATCAGTCTGCCACTTAACCCCTCAACATATGCAAGCTCGGTCATACTGCAATTAGGTTTCTTTACCAGTCGTTTTAAGCAGATGCTAACATCAAATTTCTACAATTTATGATGCACATGATAATAAATTAATGAGATTCATGCCATTGTGCGTGAAACAAGGATTCAAGCTTCTAGCAAATCTCAGGCTACACAACAACTCATGTGACTTCAAGCAATACATTCTCCTTTACTTTTTTCATTATCATAGCACCCTGGAGGCGTCACAAAGAAAGAAAATGCATATAATTGACAATAAATATAATGCTTCCCAACAAATACATTATACAATTGAGCATTGTCTTGGTATAAACCGATTATACATCTGTGCACTTGTAACAGCTTCAGTATGTTTATATTTGAATTAGGCACATGGACTTAATGTAGGTAGGCTATTGGTTGATAAACACAAAGTTGTATCACCTTTAAGATTATTAAAAAAATGACTTTACCAGGATTCTTATGTCTGTTGAATGATTCACTATATGACTTAAAATAAATTGATGGGGGGGGGGGAGGGGTCTTTTACTGAACGCTAAATCCTCTATGTACGGCCCTGTCTGGGCCATATTTGCGTCTATTGAGTTTGCTCACTTAAAACAGCCTGACTGCGCCTTTTTTTGAAATTTGCTCACCAGCCGGCCGGCGCTTTGCTCAGCTCAGCCCTTCACGCAGTGACAGATAGCTGTCGGTCTGGACTGAGGGGGAAGGCTATCTCGGAAATAATCTGCCCACGCGTTAAGCTGCTTTATCCCCGCCAAGCCTCAGTCGGTCAGACACGGCTGTAGCTCAGTGACCACTCACAGGGAAGTCCGAATTAGAGAAAGAAAAAGTGACACAGGCTGCGGAGACAAGTTTGAGAAATCTTTTTCAGGGTGATAGGTTGTGGATGAGAGCAGTGTGTGGTGGTTGTTTAGCATACATGGAGACTTGATTGGAGGTCAGACAGACAGAGCTGAAGCTGAACCTGTTGCCGTGTGCGCAGTGTTGGATGAAGGAGGCAGACAACAAGTACACACTGGGGTTTTAACCACAGCAAGAAGCTGGCACGCGTGTTTCGGGCATGGACAACATTGGATTTTGGATATTCTTGATAACAACTTGTGTAATTCCTGGTAGGATGATTTTTCTTTTCTTAACACCTGTTCAATAATAATTATGTAATTGATTTCTTTGTAGATAATCAAACCTTCACATAACAGGAAACAGTACGATTTTGCGAAAGAAAAATTGAGGATTCAGTTTACAGTTAAAGCTGATCAATAACTGAAAGGAATTAAAAACAAATTAGATGTTTTTATGTATGTATGTATGTATGTATGTATGTATGTATGTATGTATGTATGTATGTATGTATGTATGTATCTATCTATCTATCTATCTATCTATCTATCTATCTGTCTATCTATCCTGACTGTTTGTGCTGTTTTATGGGGTTCAATTTTTTCCCTTTACAATTTAATAATTCTCATTGTAATGGATTCTCATTGATCCATTTCACCCTGACATCCCAGAAGTATCAAACTTCTCCCATCTTCAAATCAATCCTCTGATATCGTAAAAGTGTTATATAATGACAAAAGCTATTGTGGCAACATATGGATGTGTAGAGCTGCAGGGACATCTGCTGTGATTGCTTTTTTCACTCAGTAAGTGATAAACCCCCCTTTGCCAGTCAAGCAGTAATTTGCTGCTGTGTGTATGTGTAAAAACTAAGTGTGAGGTTGCACCATGTGGGATTGTCATGTTGAAGGACAGAGCCTGGATTAGAGCTGTACAGGGAGCAGGAAGGGTGTAACATCATGATTGCTGCCAAGTCTCAGCCCAGCCTGCAGACTGCTGCTGATGCTGCTGCTGCTGCAGTGTATCTGTCTAATGCTGGCTGTTGCACACTCAGAGCACCTCCACAGGTCTCTGTCAGGTGCGCCCTGCAGGTTGACGTGCCACTGATGTTTTAAAAGTTTGCAATCCTCAGCCACAGAAAGCCGCAGAAAAAACTGGCTGAAACTGACAGACATCCTCATACTTCTTTCATAATCCGGAGTCCAAAGCTGGAACACACAGACGCTCCCCTACAGATATAATCCAGCACAAACACACAGCCCTTCTGTCCTCCTACTCATTTATTTGTTCCTTTAAATAACACTCCTCCAGAGTCTGCCTATTTTAAACCAATATGTTTTGCCATCATTGGCTTTCAGATGGTTGATCTTCCTCCACAGACTATTTTCCCTCCTTCATCCTTCTCTTGGGTTTTTATTTTCATCTCATGTCCCAAAACATAGATGCAGCAGCAGCAGCAGCAGCAGCAGCAGTCATTATAATCCTGTGAGCTGCACGCTGATCACCAGCCAAGTGCACACTCCATGCTTCTGCAGTGCCACAGAGATTACACACCCACACAAACATGCACTTGAGCACGCATGTGCACACAGAATCAGGAAACTCAATCAAAAACAATGAGAGATTAAAATCGATTTAGAGGAAAATAAGAGTAGAATGAGTATTTTATCAATTTCAGGAGAAATTGTGAAGGAACTCACATAATTTGGCAAAGTAGATGCCTCAGAGTCAGAAGTTTTCGGTTAAGAATTATAAGAGAGATGCAATTAACCCCAGTTGTGGCACTGACATTTTGTTATCTCACAAAGCAGTGGGACGTCTTTCAGGCAATGCACAGCGATGCATTTGCACGGTTTGAGTTCAAGTGTCATGTGTTTTCATTTTTTGTGGGTGTATGTGTGTGTGTTGGTGGCGGTTGCTCTTCACTCTGCTGCAGGATTCCCTACATTGTAAGTCACAGGGCCAAAGACTCAAACACAGCGTGTAATCCCCGATCAATCACAGATTTGATGGCCTAAAGATTAAACAGTTAATCTGCCCTCTCCTCTTTCTCTCTCTGGGTTTTTCATTTTCTGCTCTGTAAGAGGTCTAAGGCCAAGTGAGCAAAGCTGAAGGTAGATGTAGTGTGGTCAGCTTTAAACGTGTTGTTATCATCTTTACTTACTTAACTTCCCATACAGAAGAGTATGATCAAGAGGAAAATGATGCGTGCTTTATAAATGTAGTTCTGGAAATATACTTCTAGTGATGATATTTGCCTTAAGAGAACAGTTAGCTTCTTTTATATTCTGGTCTGCATTTTCCCCCAATGTACTTGAAAATTCGATCAAACTGTACAAAATCCAAAACAAGGGGTTTTGGATTTTTTGATGAAATTCCCTTTTTATCCATGTGCACATTGTTAGGATCACTTGAAGATCACATGAAGAAGAGGCCTCAATTTGTCCCAGTGTTTAAAAAAAATATTATTACTATTATTTTTTTAACCTATTTAGAGTTAAGCTTCATCATTTGTCTATAGGCCTCATAATGAGATCGAGTTCGTGCTTTCCCCGTCTTTTGCCTCTCCACATGATCATCCTATGTAATACAATTGCCTGCTGGAATGTAATTGGACAATTAGTTCTCAGATTCATTTGAATGTTATTTGAATAACATAATGTGTCTGTTACCTGAGACTCCCTCCAGAGGTGTCACAAACTACTTGCGTTGGAAATTAGTCTAATGTGAGAACCATTGTTTGTATCTAAAGATGAATGATGCATCAGGTGTTGGTATTTTGCACTGGAGGAGCCAAAGTTGCACAGTAGACTCTGCTGTGGGTTTTATAATAATAATAATAATAATAATTTATCCTTTATTAATCCTACACACACATAGGCTGAAATACACACACATGCACAAACAGGATCCTATGAACATGCATTAGCAGAGGGGGGTCAGGGTGAGGGGGCTGCCCACAGAAAGTGCACCAGAGCAGTTTTGGGGTTTGGTGTCTTGCTCAAGGGCACCTCAGCAGTGCTCAGGAAGTGGACTGGCACCTCTCCAGCTACCAGACCATTTTCCGGACTTGGTTCATGCTGGGACTTGAATTGGCGACCCTCCAATTCCCAAAAGTCCCTACAGACTGAGCTACTGCCGCCCCACTTGCAGGCCCCTCTGCTAACCACAACACACCTTTAACTTACTTGCAAGATCCCTCAGGTCAGTTGAAAAGTTCACAGCAGAAATTATTCTTGTTTTGGTTTCAAATAGACCCTCACAGTTATGAAAGGTTCAATGACTCTTGTTTCCTCTCCTTGTACATCCTCTACTCTGCTAATCTTGTGCACAGCGAAGCCGTGTTAGTCAACATAACTGTCAATCATGGCACTGAACTCCTTTTTATAACAACAAATTGTAAATTAAAACAAAGCGTGCAAACAATTGGATTTTAATCAGCATCAAAACGAACTACTTAGTTTCGACCCATGTCCTATCTGTTGACTTGGAGGAGACGAGGCTTCTGACGTATACTGCAGCCAGTCACCCATCTTTTGAAACAGTCTATGGTGATCCCGTTGTATTTCTCCCAGATAGATGTGGTTTTGCGGCACACTTTTGTAAAAGCTTGCAAAGGCAAGTTGTCATGAAAATGTAAAGTCATCGTAAAAAATAAAATCATCTCTGTTTCTGGTACAATTAGGACTAAGGTCTTCCGTAGGTTTGATTTTTGGCTACTGTAGCAGAAATGATTAAGTTAATAAACTTTCAGGTTGTGGGTTTACTACTCATCTAAAATGTGATGAGTGGACACAAATGTGGAGGCTCACAGCACTCTGTGCCACACAGCTTGTAAAGCACTGCCATTGTTTTTTTAATAGAAATATAAAAGTCTGGTATCATGACAGCCCTATAAATGTGCTAGTGTTGCCAAAATTTTTATATTATTTTTTATATCTGAATACTACACAATCAGTAATCTCATTACAAAAAAAAAAGCAAAGCTTGCCTCTGCCCCTCTGTTGAACTTGGACACATGAGAAAAGGTCATAAATGGCTGTCTACATAATGAATATAATGATGAAAGATGGAGGATATCCTCTCAGGACATAAACAAAATGCCCATCATCACGCTGTGATGCACCTGCTGTTTTTGCATGGTGCACATTCAAGTGTGGAACAATATTGCTTTTGTTTGTTACATTCCCATGTCTGTCTCTCTCCTGAGTGCTGCTGTTTATGGATTATTGTTGAGGACTGCTGAGGTCATTTCCCATAGACTCAACAATAGAAGAATGTGAATGGACAGGGGAGAAAAAGGAAGGTGGGAGCGATGGGGGGCCAGTGCGATATGAGTGTGCTTGTGTGTTTATGTTTGTGTTAGAGCAGTAGGCTCTCTGTCTGTTCTGCCCTCACTTAAAGCCCCTGATAACCTCAGCAACAGAGATCAGTGTGTAGACTGAGAGGGATACGAGTGTGAGTGTGTGTTTGTAGGCGAAGGTTCAGGCACAAGATTTTACCTCCCTAAAAATGAGCAGAACTGGTCGAAATTACAACCTGAATCGCTACATCAGCTGTGATTTATTTACTGGTTTGAGATATTCCTGTATTAACTATGGAAATAAATCTCCTAGAAAATATTCTCTAAAGATTTATCTTGACATTTAAGGAAATACTATTATTGACTTTCTTGCTTAAAATATGATGAGAATATTAAGATCACTATCTTATGAAGCTTTAAAGTCAGCAGCAGTTTTGCTCAGCAAAGCACAAAGACAGGAAAGAGATGGAAACTGCTACCCCGTATCACAATCTGCTCAGCAGCCACATACGGCTCAGTATAGAGCCGGGTGGTAATGTACCATACATTTTCAGAGATTTAAGAAAATCACTGCATCCAGACGAGACATAGCCCTTCACTTAAATGCTACAAAATAGATTTTAAAACTCCTGTGAGGATTTTTTTTTACCAGGTTAGGAAACTGTCTGATATTAATATTAACACCTCTTTGTGAGCTACAAAAGCAAATGAGACTATCAGCATCAAGATTGAGTATTCTTATATACTTGTTTTTAATGCTCGAAACAGCTGCCACAGGGTAAAAGGGATAACCAGCATTTTGCAGAACCTTTTCTTTTTTTCCACTGCAAAGATTTTCGTTGAATGATACATTTGACTGTTTAAAGAAAGCAGATATACATTTTTCATTTTCAAAAAGAGACTTCTACACCGCAAATGTACAGGACAAGATCTGCAAGAAGACAACTTTGTTCACAGTGGGCACCAAAT